AAGCTCAGAGGAGCGTAACCGGCTTGTTCTGCAAGAGCGTCTCTTGCTTCCTGTGAGCCCTTGTGCAGCGGCAGCAGCGTCGCCGTGTTGTCGGTTTGGAACATGCTGCGGTCAGACTGCCGGGGTGTCGCTGGGTGGGACAGCTACACAGTTTATCTCCTGAGCAGCTACGGCTCTTCCTGTGGTTGAGGCCACGTGGGCAGGATGGGGTTAAAAGGCGGCCCGCTCTCCGGAGGGGTCTGCTCCTCCCGGCCCTGCAGCTGCACCCACAGCAGCTCCGCCACAGGGTCCCGGCCACATGGGCCGGCTTCACCCAGCCCRGCTCGGCTTGGCGGGCGCCGGCAGGAACCCGGTAACGTATCTGCCGCTCTCCAGAGGAGCCCCCAAGGAGCCGCTCGCCTGGAGCAGCACCCACGCTTTGGAGAGTGGGTTCGCACCGGCACCGCTGCAGGCCGACACACGGGCAAGCGGCCCCAGCGCGGGTGGGTGCGGGAAGGGGGTGCATGTGGCGCCGGGTGCCCGGGGAGCAGCGGGTGCCTCGTCCCAGCAGAGCCGCCCCGGCGCCTCGTGCGGCTGCTCCCGCGGCGAAGGCCAGAGCACTGCGGTGCCGCCGCGCGCGGACTCCGCTGCCCGGGCGGGGTAGGCCGAGGGGCCGCTGCGGGTCCTCGTCCCGCCTGCGGTGCAGGGAAGGGGAAGGCTGAGTGCGGCGGGCGCGGGTGAGCGCAGGGCAGGGCGGGAAGCGCCGAAAGCAGAAGTGCCGCGGGGGGCTGCGTCGCGCAGGCGGCTCCTCGCAGAGGCAGACGCGGGGCCCGGGCTATGCGCCGCGCGTGGGAGCAGGTGAGCGCGGGCAGTGCGCGGCCCCCGGCACGGTCCGCCGAGGGCTGCGTGCAGGGCCGGCCCCGGGTGGGACCTTGGGGCAGCGGGGCAAGGGCCACTGTCCGGCTGTGCTTCCTCTTGGTGCCTGGGGCCTCGGAGATGTCCCTGTCGCCGTGGGGTGTCAAAAGGACCTCCACAGGTGAGCAGCAGAGGGGCCTGTGGGGAGGACCTGTAGTGCTCCTGCTGCCTGGGACAAGGGTTGGGCGGGAGCGGAGCGCCTACGGGAGCTGTGGGGTCCCCTGTCCARGTGGGGTTCTCCTGCCATGAGTGTAAAGAAGGGGGTTCCCCATGAGAGGCCTGGGATGTGAGGAGTGAAGATGGGGTTTGGGGTGAGGGTCACCCGCAGCAAGGACAAGGTGAGGGCTTCACCAGAGACCCAGAAAAGCGTTTGGGCCGGTTCAYCTCCATGTGGAGACAAGTCAAGAAGGTCTCTAGTGACTAGGATGGGGTTGAGGTGGGGTTGCCCATGGCAGGGACAGGGTGACGGGGTGTCYTGTGGCCATGATGATGTTTGATATGGGTTAGGCCTGGTGGGGACAACAAGATGGAGGGAGGGTCTGTGTGACAGAGATGGCATTTAGATGACCTCTCCGTCATGGGGACAAGGCAAGGTGACCCCCGTGACCAGGATAAGATTTGAGGCAGTGATGGGTTTTCAGCAAGGTTCCCCATCGGCAGAGACAAGACAAGAAGGTCTGCTGTGACTGAGATGGAGTCTGAGGGGCGTTATGGACTTTGAGGGGGGGGCGCCTCCAGCGGGGAGAAGTAAAAGAGTCTTCCCCTGTGCTCTGCATGGGGCTTGAGGGGGTGTCCCCCAGTGGAAACAGTGAGCAAGRGTCCCCCAAGATTGTAAAGGGGTTTCCAGGGGAATCCTTCTCTTTGGGAGAAGGCAACGGGGTACATGGGCCTGTGGTGGGGTATGAAGTGGGTTTCCCCGAGGGCAGGACATGGTGAGGGAGTCCCCATTGCCTGGTATGGAGTTTGCAATGGTCCCTCTGCTATGGGGACAAGAAGAAGGGGGTCCCCTGAGGCAAGGATGGGTATGAGGTGGGGATCTCCCCTGAAGCATGAGTTGGGCTCTGGTGGGGTGGCGCATCTGTCCCCATGGGCCATGCCAGCCTTGCGGTTTGTGCCTGCTCCCCTGGCTGGGGCCATCTGCCCCAAATGGCTGCCGCGGGGCGGCCACGTGGCCGGGTGCGCGGGGCTGGGGGAGGCGCTTCCCCGCCGCCGCCGAGAGCCGACCGGGCGAGGAGAGCGCGCACGCCGAGGAGAGGAGACCAGCCACCGACTGAGAGACAGTGCAGTCACCCATAAAGTAGAAAGCACTACTAAACAGCACTGCAGGGTGTAGTGTTTCCTACTTTATGGATGAGTGTACTGTGGGCTACGGAGAAGAGAGCACTGCCGACAGCGCCTGACCCACGCTGCTGCCCCGCGTGCCCGTCGCAAGCCACGCGGTCGGAGAGCAGAGGGCCGGCTGGGCCCGGGTTACTCGAGGGTGCCCGCGCCCACGCTCGTGCCCTGGCTCTGCAGGCTGCACCACTCGGCGAAGAGCAGGAACTGCCGCCACATGTCCCACGGCACCGACGCAGCCGTGACCCCGGCGAGCCCGTGAGCACTAGGGAGGGAAGTGGGTGCCTCAAAGGGGCGCAGAAGGCTCCCAATCCCTGCAGACCCTCTGGCACCCGCACTCCAGCATGGCCAGGAGTGGCCGCTCTGGGAAGAGGAGCTCACGCACCCGCACGTGGCCGTGCCCACGTGGCACCAGCCTCCTGCAGAGCCATGGCGGGGCTAGTCGGTGCCAGAGCGAGCAGAGTCCTTGCAGCAAAGCTTACAGGTAGGTAGAAGAGCCTCTGATCCCCATTTTTCGCCACAAGTCCCTGCAGAGCTGGGCACGCCACGTGGTGGTGGCCRCGTGCAGTCAGCAGAGCCATGGGAGGTGTCCAAGGCAGAGGTGGGCAGCTGGGGCTCTTGAATGGCCTCACATTGCTGTATGATTTTGTAGAGCTTGGGGGTGAGGGGCTGAGGAATAAAACTCTTTCGGCACCAACTTGTGGACGTTTCTTTATTATATCCCTGGCAAACACCAAAGCTGGAAGAAGATGCTTGCAAGACACCAGGGCCCAGCAGGGCTCTCCCCAGCGGGGAGGCCCTGCAGCTTTGCACGGTGCTGGATGCCGTGTTTGAAGCCTTTGGGGCTCTTGGGGGCAGGAAAGAGGCTTTAGAAATGACTTAAGCAGCAAATCTCAGCACAGTGGCATGGGGCGCTCGGCTTTGGTCCTGCCTGCCCTGCAGGAAGGCCTTCGCCGGCTCCCTGCGGGAGCTGCCTTGTCTCCCTGCATGCTGATAGCATTCGCTATGAGCAAGGCCTGGCAAGGAGCAGGGGGATGCTCCCATGGTCACTGTGCAGCTCCCCCCATTTATCCCGGGACACCTGCCCCTTCCTCGCTGTGAGTCAGCGAACAGCCTCCAAGGGGCACAGCGGGAGGGTCTCCAGCACACAAAATACCACTTCATACACATGACTTCAGCTCCAGAAGTCCTGGCCTTTGAAAGGACCTCCTAAAACAGTAGGAATACACTATCAAAGTAAAGACAGTTTTCTATTATTTTCTTGAACCYAAATTCTAATGGGAAAGCTTCCACTTTTTGGAGAAGTTTGTGTGCTGGAGCATTTGCGGATGTGCCTATTGAAGCCGGGATATTTTTCTTTCACTTTGTTCCTTCTTTCTTTTTTTTTTTTTTCTTCCCTCCCCAATGGCCAGAGAGGCCTGGGGTGTTTTGCTTTCATTTTGCTGTTTCAGCTTCCCAAAGTTCTCCAGCTTTGTAAATATTTGAAAGGGATACAGGCAGAAAAAGCCAAATCAAAGCTGTGCTCACGGCCACGGGGTGGCAGGTTTCTGAGCAGCAGGGCTAAGCTGCCCCCCGCAAGCAGCGACGTGCTCAGCACTGAGCAGCTTTCACAGTGTGGGAGTCCTGCAAGGAAAATAAAGGCAATGGAGGGAAAAAAAGCTGCAACAATTCCGGGGTGCAAATGTTTTGAAAGTTCAAGCTTATAATAACCAGTGTCGACTGCTGAATTATTAGGAATTACAAATACTGACTGCTTACAACTGAGGTATTTGTGGTTCTGAATATTCCAACCATTCAATATTCACTGTTCTAAGGGAGGTTTGAAAACGTGTTTCTTGCTGAAAGCAGCACAACTGAAACTGCTACTTAAAAAAAAAAAAAAAGCAGTTCCTTTTTTTAGTGCCCTGTGTGCATATTGAAAGCGCTTTGACGGGTTCCTGCAAGGAAACGTGTTCTTTCCTTACTGGGGTGAACTGCTGATCCTGGCAGTACTTCACTCGTTCAGTCCTGCCCCTGTGCAGCCCCCGGGCCTGGCAGCTCCATCCTCATCCTCTTCCGTGTTGCTCTCTAGCACCTAGGGCAGGGAGAAGCTCCTCCACCCAGCTGCTTTCCAGGCCCTGGAGAAGACGCCCCGAGCAGCGCAGGTGCTCGGGCTGCTTTTGCTCAAAGACTCCTGTGGCTCCTGGTGCTCTGTCAGYCCCCGTGGGGGACGTGGGCACCCACCCAGCGTGTGTGTGTGTGACCGTGCTTGCGCATGCGCGTGTTTTCATGCAGGGGAGCACTGTGTCCGTCTRGGGCTGCACCGTGACGCCAACACCGACGTGCGCCGGCCTCTCACATCCTCTTTTATATGGGGTTATGTTTAACTGGGCTTCAGTCCCGGCACTGTTCCTGGGTGCAGCCGCACGGGTGGGAAGGAGAAGTTGGGAGCCTGGAGCACTGCCAACGCAGCCAGCATGCAGGGAAGGGGGACATGGGTCAGCACGTGGCCGGTCGCCTTGGTCTGGAGGCGCCTGCGAGTGCAGCTGCGTCGCAGGCTGCTCATCCTCAAGCCTCCTTCCCCAGGTGAGACCTCAGTGAATCACAGTCTCTCACACAAACCCTTTCTGGTCTCTACAAACACCATCCCCAGCATCACAAGAGAAGTGGACAAACCCCTGAGGACACTAATTAGTTCTAATTGCCCTGAACAGCCTCACCTGGCACCTCCCCACCCACCTGGAGCACCATAAGCTCATCCCTGGACTTTCACTCCCCTCCTTGGTCAGTGAGAGGTTACTGCAGTCCTCTTGCTGCTCCCTGCTGATGTGACATGAWGCTTTTCCATGTAAGCACTTTAAGTACTTTCTTTTTGTTCTCTCCCTGATCCTGGGGTCTTCCCTGTGTACAGAGAGCTTCAAGGATCTCCCAGAATGTTTTGGTCCTTCTGACCTAGAGTCACTCTAGCAGATGCTTGGGTGAATAGGAGCAGGGGTTCTTTTCATATATACTGAGATTCTTATGAAGGCAAGAATGCAAAGCTCAGGGAGCTCCCGAGCCAGCACGGCACTTTAACGGGGGACTTATAGCTGTGGGGAGGAATGTTGGCATCCTGGACACTCATGGCCTCCAGGAACTCCTGGAGGCCTGTGGAAGGCCAGAAAACGTGTGTGAGTCAGTCCAGAGAGTTGTTTCCAGTCTTCCTGCTCCAGGAAACCCAAGGTAGTGAGTTCCAGGGAGGACTCTGATGCTACATGACTACTCACCTACTGCTGAGTAGGAGATGCTAYGAGATGCCCAAGAGGAAGTGATGGAGGTAGGTCCCTGAGATGAGCAGAGACAGTGAACAGCATATGACACTTGAAGTGCAAAACAAAATGTGTTGTAGCTGGGTTTCCAAGGCAGCTCTGCTGTGTGAGTGGTGTGTTCATTGCCTGCAACCACACGATTTTATCAGTGTTATATTTCCCTTCCCACTGCTGGCTCTCGCCTCCTGCTAATTAAACCTACTTACTCTGTCTTGTGAGCTGAGCAGGGCCTAGACCCTAATCCACGCTTTTGTGGTGTCCAAGGATCCTGCTTGGGATTGCCCTGGGGGAAAAAGTCGTATGCAGGGACCTGCTGAGATTTTCTGACCGGGACATGTGGTGGAGTCCAGTTCCTGCCAAGCTGCCTTGGACAGGRGTCACTTAAGCTGCTCTTTTGAAGATATGCAGGTACCAGAAAATGCAGGCGGGGGGATCAACTGCTAGAAATCTTTCCGGTCTGTTGGCTATGTTCATTGCATTGTTCATTGCTTAGTGATTTTTTATTTATTTATTTTTTCTCCTAAAATGTAGACCTTGGAGTTTTAAAATTCAGATGGATGACAGACACCTAGAATGCTGTTAGATGTGAAACTGTTAGAACTAGTATTAACTCCTGACAGTGCAGGTCTTCATCTAATTGGGTCATCTAGACCCTTCACAGTCAGTGTGGGAGACAGGAATTAGTGGTGATTTCTCTGCACTGCATTAGATGCCAATCTCAGGAAGAAATGACAAATATCCCACGGAGACAGCTTGAGCAGCTAGCTCAGAAGTGCACATCTGCATTGTATGAACCTGGATTTGGCCAGTGAAGCTCCTGAAGAGGATGCTCACAAAGCAGTATCTGAAATAAGCATGCTGACCACTGAAGAGCCTCCTCTGCAGTGGCTCACCCAGAGTGAATGGAGGTCCAAGGCTGGTTCTTTCCCCATGCAGGAGCTATGTCTGCAAAACAGAGTATCCTGCAGGGGAGAGGCACTAGCAGTGGGACCTTCAGTTGCTTCAGTTGCAAAGTACAAAGCAACAAGGAAACAGGAGGTGCCAAAACAAAGTGATTTGCAGTGATATGAGCTTCCTCTCCGATGGTCTTTGACACCTCCTGAGTGCAGAGAAGCCGTGACCGAGATCTCGCTCTGCAGTCGAGCAACCTTTGAGCAGGGCTGGGTTTTATAATGGCAAACAGGYCTCCCTTGGAGTGCCTGTCCCAGATAGCAACCCAATGCTTTTCCCCTGAGAACTGCTAACACCATACAGCTTAACAACTAGAAATAACTTCCATCAGGGATGCGGCGAGGCAGGGAGGCGGCAGGGAGCCAGCACAGCCGCTTGCCCGCTCTGCGGGCGCGTGCGCGCGTTGGAAAAGGCAGAGCCAGCCTTCCTATGGTGTCATGCTGCCAGCTCTTGTCTCCTTGGATCATATCAAATACAACAGCTTCCTCCCTGCTCGCCTTGCTTCAAGTGACCCCCTGGGACATGGGCTCCAGCCCTCACTTTGGGCACCCGAGCTGAGCTGCTGGTTCTTCGGGATGTCGCTCCCATCATGGCCCTCCCCGGGCYGCGCTGATGGGGGTCGAGTTCTYGGCTCGCTGGCGGGGAGCCGGACGYTGCGGCAAGGCCCCCTGGGCGYGGGGAGCCCTGGAGCAGAGCTGCGCTGCYGTTCCTCACAGCTGAGGAGAGGCCRAGYGAGAGGGAGCCTGGAAACGGCCTCCGAGCCCCCTGGGCCTGTAGCCACGCGGGGGGCCCTGCGGGGCTCCGAGGGATCCGGCTCCTCAGTGTGGGAAGCCATGGGGCGCGGGGCGGTGGGAGGTGCGGGCCGGCCGCGGGCAGCGGGGCCTCCCTGGAGGCCTGCGGGCCAGGCACCCGTGTCCCTCGTGTGACAGCTCGGGATTGCAGTAGCCCCACGCCTAATCAATAGGCAGCAAACATCATTCCCGCATGATTTCCATGGAAACCGGCAGGGCCCGCTGCCATTGGAGGGCTGCAGGAGCCGCGCGGCCCTGCCGAGGTGTAAGGCCCGTTTTAATATTGATGACTTGGCAGTATTTATGTGTGGGGCTCCGGTGATTCCCGAGCAGGCACTGGAAAAATCCAGCAAGCGGCACAGACGGATTCCTTGGAGCGCCGCGAAAGGCTGCCAACTTCCCCAGCCCCTCCACCTACATCATCCTTGGGGCTGCGCGAGGATGGGGCGAGCGCCCGGCTGGTCCTGGCCTCTCTAGGTGCGAGCTTGGGACACTGAGGGAAGGATGGCGATGCCGCCCGYGCTGGGCACAGCACCGGGGGAAGCGCGCGACGGAGCGGCGGCGGAGCGCGGGAGCGAGCCCCGGCGCGGCACCGCTCGTCATGCAGCCTTTGTATGACGGGGAGGAGGGGGGGGAGCGTGCGGTGAAGCTCCAGCCTGCCAAGCCTGACGGAGCAGACAAGGATGGTGCCTCCTCCAGCGCCGCGATGCTTCGGCTGCCTCCGACCCTGCCGTGAGGAACCGCAGCCCGGACTGCTCRCGCCGGGGCAGCTGTGATGCCTGCAGGGTTTCTCTGCTGGCTCCTGGAGCTCCGTGTGGTCCTCGCCGTGTCGGGGTGAGCCCATCGCGCAGGAGAGGTGCCGTGCCCCCAGCGAAGCCATGGAGGAGCAGGAGGGGAGGGCGTCTCACGCGGACCTGCCGCCCACGGCAGCGTGGCAGAGCTGCGCTCTGGCGCTGGGGGACACCGTCCCTGCGGCCTCTGCCCATCCAGACATGGCTGTGGTGACAGACACGCGTGAAGGTGGAGCCCCTGCAGCAGAGGATGGTGACAAGACGACCCCTCCGCTGCCCCCAGCAGCGCCAGAGTTGGGGCTGCAGGAGAGCACAGCAGCCCAATCCCACCGAGACTCCCCATGGACCCTCTGTGGACAGGCCCAGGACCCCCAGCAGGACCCACCATCTCGAGCACCGGCACTTGAGAGGCCCCTGAATGCGACGGATGGGCTCAAATGCGACCAGACAGCCAGATCCCCCCAGGTAAGGAAGCTGTCGCTGAGCGTCTCCTGCTGGGTGGAATGTCGCGGCGGGGATGTCAGTGAGAGAGAGGCGGCTGGGGGACTTGTGACCTTGATACCCCACAGGCAGGGGCAATAGCTGTGCTTGGCCATGGCCGAGCTACTGGTAAGGCTAATGTGGGGCTGGGAGCTGCCCAAAGAGGCTGCTCCTGCAGTGCACTGGAGTGGAAGAGCARGGATCTGCTCCACTTGCTGCCCTTCAGCAGGCATTTCCAGCTGGCCGGTGTTGGGAGGTGCTCAGGAGCTCCCCAGGAACCCTCTGCACGGGCTCCCCAGTGCAGACGGTCCTTGCACGAGCATGGGGGGTGAGCGGGCTCCTCGTCACTGCAGCATCTCTCTGCACTTGGAGATGGGCCGCGATCCGCTGGTATCCTCCTCCAGAGCATCCCCTCTCCCCTTGGGGCAGCCTGGTGGGGGCTGCCCACCCAGGGGACCTGAATTTCTCCCAGCAGAGACAACCGGAGCTTCGCTCACCAGGGCCCCATCCCTGGCCACATCTCTCTGAAAGCAGCCCAGGAGACTTCCTCAGACCCTTGTCCCCTCAAACGGGGCCACAAAAGTTCACTAGCTTCTTAGGACAACTCGCACTCCAGCCCCTTGGGTAAAATCTATCGCCTTTCTCAGACCTCCTTGCAGTCTAGGGTAGCTCCACAGAGCTTTAAAAGAAGCTGGGAAATCAAGTCTCTGCCTGTCCTTTCTGAGGACAGGGCGGAGGGAAGAGCTGAGCAGTGGATTAGGATGAGGTTTTTGAGCTCTGCCTGCGCTGTGCTCCTTGGAGTCCTGAGCATGGCTAGAGATCAGAGCGCTGCAGGAGAAACAGCGGTGCTGGGAACCCTCTGGGAGGGGAAATGGTTTCACTCAGGCACTGTGCAGTTTCTCGTGTGCCATTTTTTAACAGCTGTTTATTGTGATGTTCAGGGAAAAGATGCATTTAATTATGCAGTCCTTAGTCTGCCTCTAATCACGGCTCCTGGGTGCTCCAGAAGAGCTCCAGCCAAAAAAATGGGGCAGGAGGATGGGAAGCATTTCTGCTCCTGGTCTCTCTTTTAAACACGCTTGAGAATGAAATCAGTTGTGCCAAATTTACGGTCTCCTCTCCCTTTGGGAGAGACAGTGGGGGAGGGAAGTGGCTTGTCGTGGTGAGGGAGCCGGGTGTGAGATCTAGGAGAGGGGCTGCTGTCCACGCTGGTGCTCCCTCTATGTGGCTCTGCTTTGGTGACTGCGTTTTTCCTTCAGGAAGCAAGAAACAAATCCAGGACTACCTTACCCTAGCCTAAAGCCAGGGTGGGTGGGAAGGTGGCAGGGATAAGGTGCAAATGGTGTTTGTGGGTGCTCTGGCAGCTGAACAACACCTCATGGGCCACGGCTCTGCGCCAGCTCTGTCTGTCACCTGCTGCAGTCTCGTGGGTGTCAGCTGTGTCTACATGTGATGTTGAAGAGGTGAGGACCCTACGTGCTTCGTAGGGCAGCAGTGCTGCGTCCGTCTTCCCTCTGTGCTTTTGGCTGGATCCTGGATGCTCCTAGTTTGGTGGCTCACTGTTGTTTCCTTTTTCTGCCCTTCTCTCAGAGGCCAATTCTGTGGAAGCACCGTGAATTATTATTATTATCTTAAGGGTACAAGATTGTCACCCCGCACTGTGGCAATGATGTGGTGGTACTTGTTGGTACGTGGAAGGTACCGTGGTGGTATCAGAGCAATAATATAGTGGTACTTGGCAGTATCGTGGTGGTACTCAGAGCTGTGGTAGTGCTGCCCCAGTGCCATAGTTGGTTTTGGCTGGTTTTCAACATTGGTTTTAATTCCCAGAGAAGTTAGGCTGTCTCTTTTTGGGGAACAAAATCAGCACCTTCTTCTGCCATCAAGTGGCTTTAGTGATGAGAGAGTCTCATGGCTAGACAGGCTCTGGTTCAGGCGCAGGCAGGAGCTCAGCATTGCTGACTGTGGCACAGCAAGCGCAGGTGGAGCTGGGCTGTTGGAACTGCATCCTCAGATACATTTCCTAGGGAACAAGGTGCCATATTCTGTCTGGAGACCATGGAGACAGCACATCTTGCACAGCATTCCTCCCAAGGACGGTTCTTCCTCAGCAGCCTGGGACGTGAGCTGTAGGTGCCATGTGTGCTGCTGTCAGAGCTGGCCTTCCTTTGAGAGCGCAGCGCATCTGTCCTTGAGATGTCAATGCTGCATTATGCAAACAGGACATCTGCCTCCAGGGAATAATTTCCTAATGTTGGGAAAAGCCTCCTGAGGGCTCATCCCCGGCTCGCAGAATTGATTAAAGGTGATTTTAGGGTGAAGTTCTTGCTGTGTGTACCAGCTCTGTCTGCTCTTCCTCTCTTTTTCCCCTGGGGCAGATGTTAAGGCTGTCTGTAGGTCAAGTTAGTATTAGATTTATTGCTCAAATCCCTCCTGAGTGTGGAGAGCTGATACCCCATTTAGGAACTGGCAAGGGACCTCTGGAATCAGAAGTGGTTTGGGAGAGGATGCTTGGMGTCTCAAGTCCAACCTGGAGCAAGCAGAAGAGCTAAGAAATTGCTCTCATGAGGAGAATCTCTGGGCACAGAATATTTTAGGTTGTCAAAATAGTGAATATCAGAGAAAGAGAAAAATGTTGTCTGTGTARGAAGACTGTGGTTCAAGTGGCACAGATAGTCTTGCTGGAAACTGGAAAATTCCCATAGTGCTGTCAAACTGCTCTTAAAGGACATCCTCCATGAGATCAGTAACCTGCATATCTTACGGGATGCTGCTCACCTGGGAGCTGCTTTGATCCTGGAAATGGGGGGGGTGGCTTGGGACTAGTGAAAACTTTCTTGATGCTCTAAATTGGTAGTGAGGAAAGGAGTAAAGTCCTTCAACTTTGGAATGTTCCCCATGCCCTTCACTTCCAGCATTACTCTTCCTTCCACCAACTTCCCCGGGCTGTACTTGCGGATGGGATAATCTCAGCAGGGTGACCATATCCCTGTTTTGGTGTCCCGTCAGCCACAGAAGCTAGAGCACAGTTAGGATGCTTGGAGCTGGCTTGGAGCTGGCTTGGAGCTGGCTTGGAGCTGGCTAGTACCTCCAAACTCTGAGGGATGTGAATCTCTTAAACACAGAGCATACAGCTTTGCCTGAAGCTGAGGGCAGGAGGTGTTGTAGGGATTCAATAACTCTGTAAAACTCAAGTGACGATGCTTAAGACAAGGAGCTCCAAATGAGTAGGAGGTTAAACACCCACAAAAGAAGCAGTTGCTCTCAGTGAGCTGTAATAACAAAAAACACATATACAATCAGAATTCTATAATGCTTGTAAAGATCCTGTGCATCAAGTCTTCAGCCCAAGCTGGTTTTAACAAGAAGCTCAATGACTTTTGCAGGAGTTTCTWAAGACCTTCAAATGCTCCCAGCTAAAGACGGAAAACTGCTTATTAGAGCAGAAGAGCTGTACCTCTGACGAAGAAGGACAGATCAGCAAGGAAAAAAAGACAGTAGCAGGATTAGAAGTCTTTTCTGGGTATTAAGGCTGTTTCTTGCTGATGCAGACATTATTTCCCACATTTCCTTTAATAAAATAACCAACTTCATCTTGCTCAAAATTTAAGTAAATTACTTCATGTCTTGCCAAAACTCACTCTCATGCAAACAACTCTGAGTGTTTTCTGCAGGCATTAGGAAAGTGTGACCAACCTGAGAGAGCCACCTGCCAAGAAAGTCCAACGAGACTTAAATTTTAGAAACAATAGTAGGGAACACAAGGCAAACTGTACTGAATTTCCCTTACCTTCCAAAGCAAGCTAACTCCACTCAGATAACCTTGAGCATGAAGATGTGCCAAGATAGTCTGGCCAGGATGGCTTGTGGGGAATACGGAGGATGAGGAAGACCAACCATCTCATTGCGTCCTGTGGCTCCTCTGGACAAACTGGTTTTCAGACAGGCCTTGGAGTCTCGGAGTTGGCTATGATTGGGGTATGAYCACTTGTCTTGACGTCTTTCTCATTTTGCGTGTTCTAATTCAGGCATGGTGGCTCACCACTGCCATGCTTTTGGCTTCTTGGAAACTGCAAATCAGGTAGTCATGATGAGAGGGCTGTGGAGCAGACACATGTGCTAGAGAACTGAATTGAGAGTATTAAATCTATATCTCCAGCTCCACAMTATACCTTCTACAATGGAAGAGTGTGTCTGTCTCGGTGCTCTTCAGAGTATCGGGAGATCTAGGAAGTCTAGCCTATCTTTCAGGAAAAGCAGACTTCTAAACCCACAAATAATGGCACTGGGGCTCTGAAACGGGACGACCTGACACGTGAACTCTTCAAGTGCTCATCTGGAACACGGTAGTGGCAGTCCTGCATGGGGAGGGAATTTAATGAGATGCAGTTTGATGGCCCTTCAGCGTGAACCCCTGAAATAGCACAGAGCTGCCTGCTGAGCTCAGCTGTGAACAGGTACTCTGTTCCCAAGTGTTCTTATGGGCACCAGAACATTTCACTGTCCTTGGGAGAATGGCTCTTTGGGCTAGCATTTGTGTTACAAGGAAGATGAGAGATTAAAGATGACCAATTGTCCCTTTTTTTTTTTTTTGCATGTTTGCTACCTAGAATTCTTACACGTGGCATCAACAAGGAAGTCCAGATGCTCCATGAAGACCTTGGGGCTCCTTGGCCTGCCATGCTGGGAGCTGGAGGCTTCCTTTGGTTTYTGAAAAAAGGTTTTGTTCAGAAAGTCCAAATGCCTTCTAGAGAAAACCAATACCCATGTGCTTTATTCAAGAGTTGATGGACAATACAGGTGAATAAGAAAGGAGCAGGAGATAAGAAGTCATCTCTCTTCTGCATTTRCATGGGAGCTGTTAACACATTCAGCACGAGCCGGAAAGATCTGTAACGGGGGAGAGGGCAGCTTGGCTGGTTTGGCTCCCAGTTGTCACCTGAATTTTACAACCAAATGCAGCCTTCTGCTTCCTGAGGCGTGTG